GTCAGTTTTCACAATGCCAGTTACTCACCAGTGTGGTGCCAGACCTGTACTGTTTTGTGTATTACTAAACAGTCTGAAGAGGGTTGAGCAGTGAAGGAACAAAAGTTTGCTGATAACACAAAGTTAGTCAAGACAGTAAGGGCTTAGGCAGGCTGCAAGAATTGCAGAAGAACCTTGTAAGACTAACTGAGCAATGAACCGGTGGACGAATTGAATATAAATAACTATAAAGTGAGGTGCATGAGGGAAAAACATCCTAGCTTGATATCCAGAACTATGGCTTGCAAAATGACTGTAACCACTCAGGAGAGAGATGTAGTTACAAGCAGCTGCATGAAAACTGAATGTCCAGGAGCAAGAAAAAAATTAAAATAAAATTGGATGTTAGGGGCTACTGGGAAAGTAACAGGGAGCAAAACAGAAGTCATCACTGTACCATCCACAGCTTGAACACTGTGTGTAGCTTGGTGACCATGTATGGGAATGGGAAAGTCTCAAAGAAAGGAAACAGGATTATCACATGTTGAATAGTGGCTGTAATGGAAGGACTGAATTGGCTAGGACTCCTCAGCCTGGAAAGTAGCTGAGGGAGAGGGAATATGATACTGGCCTACAAAATTGCAAGTGGCTGGACAAGACAGTTAGGGACTCGTTCACAGCCTTTTCTTCTTTAAGAACCATGGGCCACCAAATGAGGATAGTGGATCCTGGTTCAAAGCAAATAAAATGAGGTTGATTTTCACAGCAAGACACCCAACAGGTGTTACTAATTAGACCAGCCAAATCAGACTTAAGGAAACTTTCATGATGAAAATAGCTGGATGTTGGGAGAGTACTGTGGGTGATATGATATGTGCCTGCACTGCTTTTACTCCTCCCTGGGTACCTACCTGTAACTTCTTTTTCTTGCTGTTACGCATGCTCTTTGAGTAACAGATTAATCCTCAGCAGCAGCTTTCCTCACAGATGCCAATGAGCTTAGCTCCCCCAGCCTTCATTTGGTTCCTTTTTTTCTGAACTTCAGAGCACATTTCAACAGTCCCATAGCACAGCGCTCACATGATGCCAAAGCAGCAAACTTCCCTGGCCACATCTTATGTGCATCTGGTATGTTGGCCAGGTGCCTTATGCAGCAGTCCTACTGTTTTTTGACACGTCCCTTGACACCTTGCTGTCTTGTTGACCTCCGAAGGCATGGGTGAGCAGATTACTCTGGCTGAGCTGGATGGACCCTTGGTCTGAGCCAGCAGAGCCATTCCTACAGTCATGGGTGGAGGCTTGCTCCCTGCTGCTCAGGAGGTCAGGCAGAGGCTTCACAGCTCCTGTGCTTCAACTTGCCTTGTAGTTGCACAGTGCAAGCAGGTGTTGGTGGTGAAAGACACAGTCTGACCTTCTCCCTTGTGCTGAGCCTAAAGCTCATCCAGCAAACCAGCCAAACACTGTTCCAAGTCAAAAGTAAACTTTCCTCCCTCATCCTGGTTTAACTTTAACCCAAGACTGATCCAATCCACCCCAAGGTCGCACATGCTTGTGACAGTACAAGGGAACAGTGTGATCAAGCAGTCAGGGTAAGGGAAAGACTATTCCACCTCTCTCAGCTGCGGCACATGCTTGGGCTGTTTGTGAAACCATAACACTGTGCACATAAATTACTACTGGGCTACATGTTCTTGCCCCATCACTACCTGGCTACACAGGCACACAATTGCCAATTCAAGGAATTGATTCAAATCAATTGAACAACTACCCTGGTTTACCTGCTCTGTTAGTTGGAGCAAAGTAATTCATACTAAATTCAGGATGAGGATTTGCAATGCAGCTACAGATGGGAAAAATTTCCCACAATTTGTCCTTGTTTCAAGGACAAATAAAAGAACAAAGCAAAACAATTCTTATAAAGGTTCCCCTTCTTTATCTGCAGATTAGTTTAGTCTTCATTGCACTTGGGTTGCAGCAAAGACAAACTTGCAGCATTGTATATCTAGAAGATGTGGATCATAAGAGCAGTTAGATGCTTGATTAAATTCTTGGTACCAGTTCTTTTCTCTCCCTCCTAACCACACAACAGTTAGATGCAGAGGAAGATGCCCCTTCCTACGCCCCCCCCCCCCAAGACACGAACCCAGATGGTATCAATAAAACAGCGAAGGAAAAGCAAAAAGGACATTAGTAATCTCTATTATAAAAAGAAACTAGACTTAAAAGATCTTTTCAGCTCCCACTGAGCATAGTTTGAAGGAATAAGCTTTACCTAGATGACTGTGGGTTCCTTCAACAGTATTCTCCAAAGTTTGTCACATAGTACAACCTCCTTTTAAAATAAATCATTCTATTAATTAAAACTTTTACCCAAAAAGCTTTCAACAGCACTGCAGTAATGTCTAACTCATATGTGTTATGGCAGACCTCTGCTGTTGCTGCAGGTAAGAGACGAAAGATTCTTCCTTGCAACCTGCTTTGTCAATCCACAGATGAAGAAGGCTAAAAGGGAGAAGTGGTCAAGGAGATCAGCAGTCCCCTTCACATGAGCTGCAGTGGAGTGGTCTGATTGATTGTTTGATAGTCCCCAACTCTGATCCCATCAATGAAAGGAAGAACAAAGAGTGAGAGTATAGATACAAGCATTATTTGGTGCAATTCTGATGAAATAATAACAAGAAATAAATCTTGTCCCCCAAAAGACTGGCTATATTAACCGTATTCTTTTTCAGCAATCTAACAGTGATCTATGAATCATGAGCAGTATCTTTGTGGTATTATATAGACACACACAGACAATTAATCATCTTTACAACATACAACCTGTAACCCTTGGACTCTTGGCAGAACACAGGGAGTGCTGTAACCACATGGACTGGATGCCCTTCTTTTGTGTTGTTCACTACTGTATATCGAGCAGGAAGCACACTAGGCTGTTCAGCAAGATAAAGGACATTCTCATATTCTGTTTATTACACACAGGCTATGGGAAGAGTTCAGACGGCAGTTTGTAAAGATGGTGCAACCGCCTTCTTCCCAAATCCCTTCAGTGAACTATGGCCTCAGTTATTTTCCAGTAAGGATGCTGCATTACACCTTCAGTTCAGTAACGAGTAAGCAATTATTTCCCCGAATTTTTGTCCAGAAACAGGAAGACGAAACTGTTTATGCCCGAGAAGTATTTGTGTTCCACATCATCTAAAGAGCTGTAAACTCTCTGCTCCTCAATGAGACATTCATTAATATGTTGCTACTTTAGCTTGGACCTCTGAAATACCACCACACAACATCCTACTTTCATGCTAAGCACCTGCTAAGAGTTAGTAGACAAGACTGCAGCAGATAAAAGGAGAGCTAGAGCTTAATTAATCCTTGAGGTGAAAGATCAAACATATTAAACAAACCTCTTAGTCTTTACTATGTATGGGGAAAAAAAACTTGTTACCGAAGTAGGGGAAGAACGTGGAAACTAAAGAACAAGACAAGGGAAGGAACAGACTAGCACACAGAAAATAATTTATTATGTAAATACTTATGGCCTTTAAGCTGTACAAGACTGCTCAAATTCTTGCTACAGTTCAGTCTACCCCCTTCCTTACTCTCCATATTTGAAATGATGAATATTTCCTATCTATATACCAGCTGTCTCAGAGTACTTTCTGGACTGAGGGCTTTTCCATTTGCTTGTGTTTGTAGGGACCAGGCTATGCCTAAGTCTCAGATAGGTCACTTGGATGCGAGTTCAGTGTACAACCTGGTGAAACTTATCAGGACTGCAAGATATGAAAAAATGCATTTAAATCCTACAACCAAACATATACTCAATCAGCTTTTCAGATGAAAAGTACATGTGACTCCGTATTCATGAGTTGTTACAAATACCATGGGTGAGGGAAGAGGATTTAAGATACTTTAGAAATCCACTGGCGCTGAAGTTTGCTATCTTGTTAATGTGTTTGTTTGTATTTCATTATTCCCCCACAGTTCTGAACTGTTTGGTTTTAGTTATCTGCTAATGAGATAAGGGAACAATTTTGCTATAATGAAATGCATCATTAGGTAAATTTTACTTAACCCCTTTAGACATTACAGCTACAGTTGTCAGACTTCTAATTCACTGTTAGGAATAATATCTTTGTTACCTGAAACCAGGCAAGTTGAACCACTCAGCATTTTGAAGAGCATGTAAAAGCATAAAAGAAAGCACCCAACTCAAATGTGTTATAAAAAAAAAATCTTATTTAGATATCTTAAAAAATACAAGGTACATTATATAAAGATCAAATAGCTATTAATCAAAACTTTGTTAAATATCCCCATTTAAGATCATGTACAGGCAAGCATTAAGTAACAGTGTATAACCTCAGCTAACATTTTATCTCAGTCCTAGCTGGTAACAAGTTCAGCTTGTCAATAGGATGACCTTACAGGCTTCTGCCATGTTAGTATTTACAACATGAAAACTTGGAAACAATCTAAAACTACGTTATACTAAAGATAATAAGCAGTCACGCTGCTGGACCCACGCCAAGATGGTGAAATGGATTCTCCTTTCCTTCTCTCCACAGTTTCAAATAATGTGCAGTGTAAGCAGGTACACAGAGCAAGGTCCTACATACACAGTCTATTCAACTGTTTAATACATTACAGTTAAAGCCAAACAAAACAGATTTCTCTGTTAATTAAATATACTAGCAACACTACATAACATCCCAGTGACATTTTGCTTTTTAACAACTTCGATATTGAATGAGAATGTCTTCAACCACGACTCACTTTGAAGTCAGCAGCATTTTTACAGAGCATCAGAAATGTCATGATTTTTTTTCCAGTCTAGTGGGAAGATTTATCTGCTTATGATTTCTACACAGGGTAAGCAGCTGCCAGTTCCAAAATCCGGGCTTCAATGTAATTAAAAAGCAAAGATGTTTCTTCAGACTCTCTTGTACAAAGTAACTCTCTTGTCACTTAAATCCTTTCAGCAGTAGTAATAAAAGTTCACTTTTCCTCTGGGATTAAACTCAGTAGGTTGATTTAGTGGTCCCATTTGAGTTTGAAGAGTAAGAATTTGATTTCTTGGGGTACCTGCTCGATGAGAGAGACACTTGCATCCTCCGTGTAGTTCGCACACTTCGGCAAAGAAGAGCATTTTTAAGGTTGTCTCTGAAGTCTTTTGAAATATAGTAATAGATGAATGGATCAATACAACTGTTCAATGTAGAAAGACACAGTGCAGTTATGTATGACGCATACAGATAGCTCTGGCTGTAGGTTTTGAGGAGCAAATAGTGCACAACAAGCAGGACATTGCTAGGTGTAAAACAGATGAGATACATAGACAGGACAGCGATAATGAGTTTGATTGCTCTTTTTCGTTTCTTCCCAGTGCTTATATCTGAGATGGAAGCATTTAGAGTCTTAATCATTAGTATGTAAGCGACAGCAGTGAGGAGAGCTGGGATTAAGAAGAGTCCAATTGCAAGTGAGAGGAAATAATTGAACATGTTACGAGGCAAAACATTTTCAGGCAACACATCATGGCAGGTAGTGATGTTAAGATTTGAAATGTATGCTGTTTGATTAACAAGATACAACGGAATGGTGCCCAACAAAATCAGTATCCAGATACCAAGGGAGACGCCCAAGGCAATTTCAGATTTCCTTCTCGAATGCACTATGGGGTTCACTACAACCCAATACCGTTGCACACTGAGGCATGTCATAAAGAGAATGGAACAGTACATATTTCCATAGAAAAATCCAACAAGTACTTTGCAGAGACCTTCACCAAATAGCCAATTATTGCCATTTACATGGTACGCAATCTTCAGCGGGAACCAGACAACAAAAAGAAGGTCTGCCAATGCCAAGTTAACCATATAAATCGCAGCCGGATGTTTCTTCTTCGTTCGGAAAAAAAAGACCCAGAGGGCCATGGCATTGCTTGGAAAACCAATGATAAAGACAATGATATAGACAATGGGAAGAAAAACTGTAGTCAGCTTTCCTGTGAGGGCTTTTGCTGCAAATTCATCCACTTCGTATAACTCTTCTGAGGCATTATTTGTATTTGGAACTTTCCGGCCAGCAAAACTTCTTCCTTTTGAACTGCTGGTTCTACTACTCTCTCCAACAAGTACTTTGCAGAGACCTTCACCAAATAGCCAATTATTGCCATTTACATGGTACGCAATCTTCAGCGGGAACCAGACAACAAAAAGAAGGTCTGCCAATGCCAAGTTAACCATATAAATCGCAGCCGGATGTTTCTTCTTCGTTCGGAAAAAAAAGACCCAGAGGGCCATGGCATTGCTTGGAAAACCAATGATAAAGACAATGATATAGACAATGGGAAGAAAAACTGTAGTCAGCTTTCCTGTGAGGGCTTTTGCTGCAAATTCATCCACTTCGTATAACTCTTCTGAGGCATTATTTGTATTTGGAACTTTCCGGCCAGCAAAACTTCTTCCTTTTGAACTGCTGGTTCTCTCACTTTCTAAAAAAAAAAAAAAAAAAAAAAAATTAAGAAGTTGCTGTTACTGAAGTACAGACTTTTTGTCCTTTTTAAAAATAAACTACACATCATGATTTAGTCTGAAGAATTAAAGAGGGCCTCATCAACAGAAAAATTAAGACTCGTTTCCAAACACTTGACAATGTTTCTTCCCTTTGTTTTAAGTTTATTATCCAAAAGACAACCTACATCCCTATTCAAGGATTGTATCAGCAACCAAAATGCTTTTCCACATCCCCAGTGATATTAAAAATACCTTGTTAAAATGGCTGTCAGATACTCCCACTGTCTGAACAGTTACAACAGAAACTGCTTCAAGTACCCCAGGGCATCATTATTCTTTCACATAGCAGTGCCAGATTACCCAAGCGCTGGGACTTAGAAGACTTTGCAGCAGGCTAACATAGCTGCAGTAGAAGTTTTCTCAGTTTTAGATGGCCTGAAAATCAGGTATGCAGTAAAAAAGAGCATGCTGTCCTCAGATGAGCTAGAACTGAAACTATCAGAATGTAATGCCAAAAGCTACGCACGAGTGATCGCTACGGAAAGAAAGATGCGTGTTACGCTGTATCTGAATTGAAACTTGAACAGACTATCTCTGTGCATGAAGATGCAACAGGGCCAGTCATCTGGGATCTCCTTTTCAATTCACAGCCATAATGGTCAGACAATCCCTGCAGTTTCTACTCAAAGTGCGAGGTGGTAAAGCTGACAGCTATGGTTGCTTCATACATCAGACAGCTATCACTTCAAGTTTTGCTCTACCTCTTCGAATGCCACAGGGACTTACAAACCATATGGGCAAGCCAGCCATTCCTGACTGCTCTGTCTTGTATGACAGAGCCTTCAGATGGCTCAGTCCAGAACCCCCCAAGACACCCTCCAGACCCAACGCAGTCCTCTCACACTAACAAGTTAAAGTGCACAAGCAGATACTGTCCATGAACTCCCCCTGTTCCAAAAAGTCAGATAACCGCCAAGCTAAACTGTACGGACATGGAACTTGACTGTCTGTGGGAGAAGTATTTTTAACCTTATCCCAATTTCTGTTAATATCTGTGGATTATTTTAGCCACAGGAAATCCCAACAGGAGTATAAAGGAGAGTCTTCTTGAGCAAGCAGGTTTGTGTACAACAAGCCATGAACACTGTTGAAGGATGGCCCCTTTGTTATTCAATAAATAGTAGTTTCGATACAGTTCCAGAATGAAAAATGCTTACACCTTACATTTTAAAGTATAAGAAAAGAATACACAAGTTTGCATGATTTCCAGTATAGATTCTTCAGATAGCTGTTCCTTTCAAGTTATTACTGCAAAAGACAGATGTACAGCATTAGTGTCCTATCTAGACTGTGTGACCTCCTAAAGAGGTATACAGAAATATAGCATATATTGGTGTTCTTTAGAGTTCTGAATTAAGTTACCCTAGCTCCACTTAAGAGGGATTTGACAAGCTCCAGGCACAGGCATGCTTCACTGGAAAACTGACATGTAAGAAAACTTTTTGCCAGTACAATGACATAGACAAATCTTTGCAGTAGACTGCATGAAGACTGAAGTCTAAACTATATCAACAAAACAACAGCCCTAAAGATAATTCAAATGCCAAACAGTCATTTTGGCCTATATGTGGTATAATTACAACAGGGCAAAATTATACAAATCCTGCTCTCAGATCTTCAAGCCACATGATTATGCCAGCAATACTGTTAAAGATTGCAAAGTCTACTCCTATAATACAGAAATCCCAGGTCCCCTAATTTGAGCCATGAATATTAGAAGCCATAAAACCAGCTGGAATATCGTAGTTTACATAGACATCAGATAAGGTAAATGACAATTAGCTGAGCAGGCTTACAGCTTAGCTGAGAGAGATCCCAGAGATGCTTGGAAGCAGACCCTTTACTGTAAGCTGACAGCAGTTCTCAGAATACTGTAATAAAATGCAGTGTACAGTGCTATGTTAAGCAGCTGTCCATCAGTAAGTAGTTGATATTATCAAATTGCAGTCATAGTATTTGTATTCCATTCCAAAGACTTAAATTATTGTAGACAACTGGTAGAGCAAATACTACCACTTTGTTCTTATTAATGTTCTGTGATCAGATAGAAAGCAATGCTTTGCAATTGATGTTCATAGGTTAGGCTGAAAGAAGTAATAAAAAAATGCTCACCAAAAAGCCCTAAAGTGTTAGTGTGACACAAAAGAGTAAGAGCTATAATAAAGTGGATCGACAGACACGTGACACACAGACAGGACCTAGTATTACAAAAGTGATGGAATAGAGACAAAGGTTTGTTTTATTCCGTTTTTGAAGACACAGTCAAGCTATAGTCTTGCTTTTACGCTAAGTAGTTCCAGCCTCAAAAGTTCTGACTGCAGATACTGGGCAGCTTTTGTTAGCCCAGCTGGCACCCACATAGGGAGACAGTTCAGCGTCCTGTTTCTCTGTGCAGTTAACACTCCCTCACCTAGCAACCAATCCTTTCTTAGGTATGTGCATTTTCTGCATCCTTTTCATACTCTTTCTGTGCTTGCAGTTTTCCACAACAATTGAGTACTTTTCCAAGCTGAGTTTCACTCTGCCTGACTCATATACAGAGAATGCAGTTGACTTGCTAATCTGCCCACGGGAAAAGCTTCCTTGGCATCATGGGGAAAAACATACTCTCCTCCCACAACAAAAGACCGTTTCAACACCTTTGCCATTTGTCCAGAAGACATAACCCACTGCATACCAAAAGAAGGATTGCGCCTACCCTGCAGACACAAAAGTGATAGCAGCACAGAGTATCCAAATTAACTAGCTTAGGTCATGATAGCAATATCAACACAGAACTAAGGTTAAGATTACCCTGGTTTTTGGATCTGCAGCTCATACTCACCACAACCCCATAATGGCATTAGCCTGTGTGAAAACAGCCACAATCATATGCCCTGGCTTATAGCGCATCTCCCTTGGTTGGGATGGGATCACACTTCCAGCTCATTTCACCTCCCTACTCCAGAAGATCAAGCACCCAGCTAAAACTTTTAAGCAGACTACTTCATCCCCCACAAGATGATTCCAAATTCCCCCCCGCACTCTCAGGTCAGATAACTAGGATATTAAGAGGCAATCTAATATCAGAAACTCCGCTCTGAACAACAAATTTGCACCTATCTAGTATTATGTGTTGAGAAAATAGGACCTACCATAAGCTTGGCTTCAATATTTACACAATCTTTACGCATATACTTTTATTATGCAAATAAGGATGAACAAATACAGAAGGACACAGTGCAAAGGCATGCGCAGATATAGCAATGGGGTTTACTATAAAAAGTAGTGAAACATGAACCTTAAGGCAGTGAAATATTAATGACTGGTTTTTTCCCCCCTCAAACAGCACTTGTGTTCAATAAGCAATAATATAAACTAACAAAGATAAGAATTAGGATTAAAAAAAAATCCCAACTTTTCAGAGTTGGGGAAAAAAGCGAGAACACAGTCTTTAAGGTTTTTTATGTTTATATACAGCTTTTGGGCAGGTTGCTAGCCGAGAACCAAACTAGGTACAGCGCCGATGCGGGTGAAGCCACGCCACGCGTGCCAGGCAGCTCCCGCGGAGAGCCCGCGCAGGACCTGCGGTCCCGCAGCCCTCCCCGCCGGCTCCGTGCGCCCCACAAGGCCAAAGAGGGCTGGAAGCCCAGCCCGGCTGCTTGCCCGTCGAGCCGCTTTCCCCCGCCTGACGGGGAGGCCGGCCGGCCGGCAGCGGCC